GGTAACAAGATAGAAACTCGTACCTTGGAATACAAAATAGTCGGAAATATTCTGCATATCCCGCAACAGGCACTTACTCGCAATAAGCATTTAACACACTCTCGGTAAGCATAAAATTTTCAGATATAATGCTTTCTTGATTTCATATCTTAAATCCTAAGATGTATCTATGAAATTATCAAAGCATTCACTGTCTTATTTTCAATGTGAATATATTTTATTTGACACACATATTGAGTCCTTGTCTTTCTTTTATGAAAACACTCTAATACACGCACGAATTTTTATATTAGTTGCGAATTTATGTACTTTATAGAAGTACAAAAGATAAAAAAAAAGTAATAAATGAAAATATATCGACAGACAGATGTTTGTTTGTACATAAATACTTGTAATATTTTATAATAATTTGTTTAGAAATTAATGAAAAGCATATCTTTCTTATTTCAGATTCATTACGAGTGTCCCGAAATTACGAGATAATCTAATAGAATTAACTAAACTTTTCTTGGAGCAATTGAGTATAATATTCCCAAAGATCAATGTCTATGCCGAGCCTTTGCCTCAAACAATCAAATGTTATTTCAACATTATGGAATATGATTCGAGTGAGTATATTCCGACCATCAATGAATTTTCTGAATCTTTAAATTGATTAATAAATCTTTAAATTATAATAACATTTTTTATTATCTAATTGCCTTATAAATATAACACATGTGAAAAGAATATGGCCTAAATATTTGGCATTCGGATTCTTATATTTTCAAATGTTTACAGATACATACGATGTGCAAGCTATAGAAGAAACAGATATTATATATAAAAAGCAAAAGAACCTGAATTTGACTCTCAAATACAACGAATGGTAAGTAATTTTATTGGAGATAGTTCTTTTGTAAAATTACATTTAACAAATTTTTGAATTAATATTCATTATTGTTAAAAACATTTTTTGTTATAGTGGGCAATGGAAAGATTCAAGAAAATCGAGTTGTGTAATAAATATGGGCGACTTTGCATCAGTGGATGATACTTTCGAAAATATTCTCCAAGTGAGTAATAAGAATAATAGTATAATGTTTAAAACACAATTTAAATAAATTTTAAAATCAATTTTTACATCGAATTTTATAACTTTTACCAGGTAACTTCGGATCAAGAGGCAGTAATAGCGTATTATTACATGGATGATAACAATAAAGTGCAAGTGACAGAAATCTTCGATGTAACGGAATCAGAATCGCATACCATGCTTTCCATAGATGAAGTTGACACCAATAAAAAACTTCAATTCGATGAATGGGATGAATCTTCATGGTTATCTCAGCACACACTTGACGGTAATTGGCATTTTCTTTTCATAAGAAACATCAACGATACAGATTCATGATCAATATTTTAATATTCAATTGAATTATCCAATTTTAACCATTAGTCTAAATAAATTTTTAATTAAAATTTTGAAAAATATTTGCAGCAACTACAGAGTCTCTTTATACCGATGAAAATTTACGAAGCATGGAGAATTTGTCTGATGTATCAGTAGAAGACGATATATTGGATAGCGCGAATATATTCTCTGATCCAGAAAGTGAGTGGGAAGTGGAGAAGAATCCAGAGCAAGCAGAAATGTCTAAATCTCCGGATAGTCGGCCGGAAGTAGATCAACCATCCACAAGTTTGCTATAGAAATAAGATAATAGCTTGTTACTGTTACCATATATAATTAAAGATATGTCTTATTAGATAATAGCTTGCAAGAACATATGTGCGCTATTTAATTAACCGTAAAAAATTTATAAAATGATGAGATTGAAATATTTTAATGCATTTATATATTCATACGAAAAGTAACACAAATTGTTCAGTAACACAAATTGTTCAGTAACTTTAAAAGGAAAAATTAATCAATTTTTATTATTGTCATCGAGTTTTCATGATTATCTCATACGATATACCAATAAAATAAAATTATATTTTAATTATGTTCTTATAGAACATTTTAATTTAAATGTTAAATTATAATTGTGTATCTTTATATTTTCACAAATATTTTGTGAGATATTTGTAAAAATATAAATCAAAGATTTTGAAAAATTTTAAAAATCTTTTACAAAGCTTTTTGTTGTTACTTTTCCATTTAGACATCTAAATGTATAATTTTAACACTTGAAAGTTTAATATTATAATCTGAAATATTTTATATCGTTATTATAATCATAAAATAAAATTTCAAGAAATGGATCTGTACGTAGATTCATATATACAGTACTATAAATGCCTTTTACTGTATTTTATATGTATGATATATTTCTTACTATCCGCGAAGTTAACTATTCGCGATTCTATTAAAACATCTACATTCCATTCTGTATGTTCTTGCAAGATATAATTAAGATGAAGCATTGAATACACAAGCACAATTATCGAATACGTACCAAAATGCGTCATGCAACATGCGTCTTAAGCGTCTTTATGACGTGCAACAGTATTCTACTCTTAATCTACTAATTTGAAAATTCAGTAATAATGAGTGTTTGCATGAATTGATACATTATTTCATATAAAGAGACTGATATATCAGTGATGGAAGAACATGGGATTCTAAACCCATCGGTATTTTTGACTCTAGAAAGAAACTCTAGAAAACCAATTTTTTTTTGAAGAAAAACATCGAGACGAGTACAATATGAATAATAAACAACTGAAAATAAAGGGCAATGCGTAAACTAAACTTCAGAAGAGAAAATGACATTTTATGAATTTAGAATAGATATATATATATATATTAAAGATTAAATGATTATTTTTTTAACTATAAATAGTGACTCTATTTTTGAGTAAAAAAAATTATTTACATACATAACTGTTTCTCTAATTATTAGTCTACAGTTTAAAAAATCTCATTTATGCATGATATGCTCTGCTTATATGGTATATAAAAAATTATAGCTAATTTTAAGGGTATTGAATCAACAAACTTGAGTCCGGAAATCATGTTTCCGAACTATAAGTTTTCTCTAAATAAACAACTTGTCATTTAAAAAGGATATGACATCCTTCATTCATTTTAATATTTATTTTTTAGAGAATGTATATGTTCAAATATGTATGATTTTAGACTAACTCATGTTATCCTTTTTTTGCTTTAATAATTATTGTTTTAATTTCGATAGTAATTTTTTGTATTCAATATAATCTGACGTATAATTATTTTCTTTCTTCGTTACTATAAAGTCTCTTCGTTACAATTTCCTAGAATTTTTCTATGAATTTTTCTACTAATTAAATTAAGATATATGTTAATAGTAATGAGATCAATTCAAAATTTCAATGGATATAAGAGTATAAGTTATTTCATTATAATTATTTATCGCTCGTTATATATATTCTTACGCATACATTGAATATTCTTTTGTCCAAATTCTTTTGTCTCCTATATACACAATAATTCTCTTTTATAACTTTTACATAATAAATATCTGCAAACGTTTTCTGAAAAATTTTAATAAAAATAACTATGCAATGGTAACTACCTCTAATATAATTTTGTTCGTTTAAGAAGTTGTTGAAACATACCGAATCTGGAGGTTGTGAAACTAGAATAAATAGTTTATATAAGAATATCTTAATATTTAAGAGAGATTATTTTAGAATAATTTATCATATCATCTTCCTAGCGTTAATTATCTTTTTTTTTTTAACATAACAAATTTTTTGTGATCGTACGGCTAGGTTTGATTGTTATAGATTATACAGATTATATATTGCGAAACATAATTTAATAACTATTTTGATCATGACCAGTTTAGCTTTTAATAATATCTTATATCTAATATTTTTTTTTATATATGTTTAATATTTCAGTTTATGATTATCTATTTTAGAAAATGTACCTACATATTTTACTTTATACAAGATCCGAATTATATAATGTGTAAAAGAAAATTTGCTTATACTTTGGGATAATTTTGTTCACAAAATGAAAATATAAAAAATATAAATAATAGTTGCTGTGAAATGTTCCTATTAAATTATCCCAAATAGGTGCAGCAAATAATTTTTTTACTCATTGTAGATTTAAACAATGCAATTTTTTAAATATTTGTATCATGCGATTTTGATATTAACGAGTTAAATTTTTTATTTGGTTATAAACTGTTTTCCTATTTGTTACATCTATGAATAATCCATTAAAGAAGTATTATAAAAGAAAAGTTAATCTCTTTGACAAATCTTCCTTTTTGTAAAATATTAATATAAAAATTTTACGTGGTGTTATTACAATGTGAATGTTACGCTTATTGTTGTGTTATTTTATTTAAAGTAGGATAAGTAGAATAAATGCTAACGAATGACAAATTTCAAATGAATTGTAAAGGAAATAATATAAGAAAATATTCATTTTATAAACAGTTTTAATGCTATTTCATAAGTATTAATAAAATATTTTTTTGGTATTTTTTAAATGCTAGCGATTGTTTATTTTGCAGTTTTGGTTATTTATATGAATACAGTAGATACCCGATAAACATTATATGATAAGATTAAAAGAATGCAAACTACATATTTTGCTAGGTTTTTTGTTTTATGCATGGATATTCTTTTTTATAATATTAAAAATACCAAAAAAATATTTTATATATGTATAACATATATATACTTTTTTTATGATTACAAATAAAAACTGTATATACAGGCATATCAAAATGAACAAATAATATTACCATAATTAAATGACAGTTCTTTGGAAAAAAGTTCGAAAGTAACAGAATAAATTTTAATATATTAAATAAAATACGCTTGTAAGTTTTGATATTGTTCTTGTCAGTACTCATAAAATAGATTAAGAATACAAGAATTGTTATTGGTGCTAAAAAAGGGATGAAGATCAATAAAAACTGGAATATTTATTATGTTTTTAATATAAAACAAATCGTATACACAAGTTATATGTACAATAATTGAAACCTTCCCTAAAGTAACATTTTAAGGCAGATATTTGAGAGAACCGCATTTATTGCACATGATCATAAATATTACGTAATACTGATTTGGTAAAATATTTCTGTATATTGTTGCTAGAGTAAAATTTCTTTGTAATTAAATAAACGACTTAAAAGAAAAACGCAATTCATCATACAATTTCCATATGCAAAAATTAAAATTTCATTGATAATCATGATGTAATATACAAATGCCTCTTTATATTTCTTTCAGGGGCGGGCTTCAATTATTTCGACGTAACATGATCGTTATCATTTATTTGAACATATTCAGGCGGGATCTTCCCCTGGGGCAGACGTAGAATTTCTCTGAGCTTCAATTTGCGTCCTATTCTGAGAACTTCCCGTCGCGACGGCAACTTTATGCTGTGCAGCTAGTAACTGCTGAAGCTGTAAAATCAAAATAATCATTTCTTTGTTCCTGCAAAGGAGACTGATTCTTTTAATTTATAATAAAACTATATTACTTGATATATTAAAAAAAAAGTTTAATTAGTATCTCTTAATTAAAACATACTTGTTGTTGTGATAAAGTAGTCACCCCGAGACTTTGCGTCTGTTGACTGCATTGACCGGTAGAAGCCCTAGCATGCAAGGATTTTGTCAATAGAGTTTGTTTATTAACAGGTACTACTTGGGAAGAAGGCGTCGTCTGTGACGCCATAAGCACAGGTTTTGTCGCGGCTGCGAAGTAGAAGATTTATATATAGATATCATTGATAAACATAAAGTACTATGCTTATACTATTATTTCCATGAATATAGATTTGGCATTATTGACTTACCCATTATAGGAGTTAATACTTGTTTATTACCAGACAATATCAGCTGACTGGCCGTTACAGTTTTGGCAACTGTCACCAATTGATTCGATAAAACAGCCGATTTAACTTGATTCGATTGTACTTGACGAGTCATATGATTAAATCGTTGTCTTTGAGATCCAATAAGTTGGATTGCTTGTCCTCCCTAAGATTACATAATGTTACGTAAATTAATATTAGTGTTGATAAATACATTTCTTGCATTCAATTATACTGATATTTTAATAATTAATATAAAAATTCTATCTTTTCTATTTAATTCTAGATATTCTAATATTATAGAATATTATATGCCGTTATTATATAATGTAATATGTAAAAAAATTGTGTTCCAGAGTATTAAATTAATACCTGTGCAAGAGCCACTGCGTTATTACTCCTATTTTGCTGCGACAATCCTTTTACTCCAGATGGTATTAATTGGGCTGAAAAGTATACGATCAATTTTTAAATATCTAAAAATATTGTATACATAATAATAAAGTAAATGTCTCAAAAATGATATATATATATATATATATATATATATATATATATATATATATTATATCTTATATACGTATGTGT